GATTTGCAACATTTCATTCATATATCTTTGCTCTACCCCTTTGCATGGAACCAAATTCCTTTTACCTCTCTCCCTACCTGTGCTGAATTGATACCTGCTCACCATTCTGGGTGGCCTTTTCCTTACTTGGGCTATGATTTCCTTAACTGGCTGTCATCCCATGTGTGTGTACTCACCTATTCTTGACACCTTCTAGCAAGCCTCCTCTTTGTAAGAACTCTTCTTGCTCAGACTGTGACCTGTTCCACAGTACCCTTTCCCACACAGGAGCTGATATCCTACCCCAGATACTGTGCTCCTCAAATGCTCCCACTACTCTTCATCCCTACTGCTAATTTCTTAGGTCTTAATTGTTAAGGAAGTCAAGTGAAGAAGGTGAGAAGTAAATCGACGAAAAGTAAATATAAAACATTGTAAGCTATGACAATACTACTTTATGATCTATTAGATATTTGCAAGCTATTATTCACTGAACTGTGAAATAATAATGATAATAGTAATAATGTGATTACTACTGTTGTTAATAATGGGGAAAACTATTAATGAAAAACAAAGCATGGTTCCTGGCTTGTAAAATGTAATCCTGTTCCTCATCACCAAGTAGTCATCGATCTAATTAGGCACATGGGTGATGATCAGAACATAAAATAGAGGTTAAGCGTAGCGCCTACCTTTAACTCACTAAGGAAGGCCTAAGAATGAAATGACATAAAAAAAACTGTCATCCTGTACCTCAACATACAGTTATCCCCCATTTTTCAAAAAGATGCCACTTTCCTTTCACAAGAAAGCTGTGTTACTACCTATTTTCACTAATGGAAAAAAATATATAATGGGGGATTTTCAATTTCATGACAAAAGGCACAAAAGTGATATTAGCATTCAGAGTTGGTTTTGTTGCAGCTCTTCCAGAGGAAGCCTCCAGCAAAATGACTGGCCCCTAGGCTCCTTCCCCAGAACTACTTTCCATGGGGTGTGTACCATATCACTCCTGCTTTTAGTAGATGTGTTATTTCAGATTTTGTGTATAATCTCTCCTGATTTGGTAGGTTATTTTGGTGGTCTAGGAATGCACAAAAATTCATCTATATAAATGCATAATAAAGGCTTCATTGCTTCATATGATTTGGGCTTAAGAAAGATTCACTGGGGTGTTCTGATTTTGGATAGAAGGCAAAACCTGCATCTTATAACATTAATATTGGTATAGTGTTTAAAATACTTTCCTATTATATGATAATGAGAATGAATGGATATTGGTTCTTTAATCTAGTATTTACTAAGTTGCTGATCTACTAGGTCAGTGAAAGCACAGTGTGCTGATGTGTAAAATGCATATATTTTGCATATTACTGTAATGTTCTCTAACCAAACATTTTTTCATTTTCTATTTATTGTCAATTAATTTCTGGCCATAAATGATACACATGAATATAGAGTTACTCAGGGTTATATTACTTATTTCATTTGATACTGTGAAGTGACTAGAAACTTCCAGCTTTTCTCAATGTTTTATTACTTTCCTGGTAATGCTTTTGGTCTTTCATCATTATTAATTCATTTAGTATTCATTGTGATAATACTGATCATAATAAATTTATTTCAAATTCTTGTAGATGTCATATTTTATTCACTGCTATAGGATTTTCATTGTAATTTGGAACTAATTACTATACCATTAAAATAAAGTGTTACCCACATTTTTCATTTTAAACATAAAATGTCTAGTAGTTCATGACATATTATGTGAGTATTCAGCATCCCAGTGGTAACCCAAGTATCTGTAATTTTATTTTTAAACAGTTATAAAAAGGGCAACAGAAAATGTGCATAAAAGTCAAATTTTCAACACATAAATTAAAACTTAGCAGTAAATTAACTACTAGTTATTTCTTAAATATATCCCATTAATTAAGATGTACCATTATTATGGAAATATGTATGCCTGTATTTATATACATTGTTGCTCATAATTTCAAAGATATTATTTAGTCATATTTTAAACTATGTACTTTATGTTAGCATTATTACTAGGAGAGAATAGAAAACATAAGCTCTAAACAGGGAATCTGAATATTTGTCTATTGCATTTCTAATACAATTATAAATAAGGAGTATGTGCAAGCTAGCTCATTATTTCAAAAGAAATATTAGGTTTATCTATATACATTATTCATAATTTTTGAAGAAAGGAAAACAAATGATTTTAGCAGCCAAAGAGTATAGTAAGAAGAAAATCAGGTCTACTGACAATATTAAATGTTAATGGTAAAAACAAAGGGTTAAATAACCACCTTCTTCCATTGTCTTGAATTTCACCTTTTATCAGTCTGAAGGGATGAAACTATTCTTTGTTTTCTTCACACTCTACTTTGAAATGCCTGCTCTACTGGATCTTGTATTGTAACACATTTTCTATTTGTGTCATAAATGCTATTTTATATCCTATACTATCTATCACCTCTTACTTTGACTCTAGAATAAGATTTGAAGAGAAAAGTGAAAAGATTTCCTCAAGCATACAACTCCTTAAAACAACAACCTTCTTTTCCTGAAACTGTTTAATTATGGTCTTCCTTCCTAAATCCTCTTCATGAACATCTGTAACACTGAGAAATACTTGTGTCTTATAATTAAGCTTCTTTTCCCCCTTATTTAATGTCTTTCATTGTAAATATTTCTAAACCAAAGATTGTTGAGCTTGGAGGATATGTGGTTCCAGAACCATGAGGATTGATATTAAGGGGTCCAATATGTTTTTATATTATGCACAACATTCTGAAAACTGTTTAAGAGCCTTGCCTTCTACCTTGGCTTCAATTGTTAATATTTCTTCCCTTCTCTCTCCACCCCTTCCTGGCCTCCCTCCCTCCCTTCTTTCCACAACCATTTGTTTAGCTACTCCATGCATCAGACACAATTCTGTGCATTGGGATACAATTATGAATATTATTCAGTTCCAACTCTCAAGAAAAGTGTTAGAATAGTAAGGAGAAGAAATTTCAGAATATTATAAATATAAATCTTTCTGGAAGTTTAGTTATAAAACAATCATTTCAAGAAGAGAGGTAAGTTTTGTGATCAGTCAGAGTATAAGAACATGGTCTACTTATGGAGCTGTGGGAATGAATGAGTCATAAGCTGGACAAGTGAAGAGTTAATAGAACACGTGACACTAAGTCTGGGCCACATCTGGAAGACTAGGACAATTTTGTAGGATTTATAGGAAAGGATTATAAGAAAAAGTAAAACGGTTAGATTTGTGTTTTAGAAAGGCCATTCAGTAGATTGCAGATGGACTGGAGCAGAAGAAAACTAGAACCTGGAAAAAGATTTTTACAAGTAACTCATTGTAAAATGATGAAGGCCTAAACTAACTTAGATCTTCTCTTGTGAGCCTTTGAATATGTCACATTGCCATTCATGAGAAAGAGTTTTAGAGTTACAAAAAGGAGAGCTACTCCAAGGGAGAATAGAGGATGAATATGTGAGGAAGAAGGGAAAAGTGAGTCCCTTTAAATGTACTGAATTTGAGGTACCTGAGAAGTATCCCAGAACAGATATTAAAATGTCTTCCATGTACAGATCAGGAGAGCTACCCACCCTGAGAGAATCCTTAAGTGCTTCCTTGACTCTCCTTTCTTTCTAGGTTATTTCCTGAAAACAACTACATCTGAGTTCCAAGATCTTACATTTTACACAGAATTTCATTTATTACATACTTTCATTTACTACTGCTTTTGTTTTCTTTTGTATTAGTTTGTAAGTTTATGTGTAATTTATGCTCCAAAAAGTCTTCTGTAATCTTTAGTTTAAATACCATCCTAAATTACACATGGTTAGAATGGATAAGTTATACTTTGATTTAATGAATATGACACTAACAAACTGGTATTTATGTTTTTTCTTCATGCCATCTACAGAGATGCTCATCATAATATATCAATTATTAGTTATTGAGAGCATCTTATTGCTAACCTGCTAGGCTTTTTAAGACAGGCCAACAAATGTATGTTATTAAAATCTTACAGAAGAAACTGAATTTTAGGTTAAAAATCTTGCTCCAAGTTACCCACTGTGGGGCTAGAACCATATGTATATCTAAAATTTAGTACTTCAGATCTTGAACCAGGAAAAGCCATGAGATTTAATGTATTGATCCAGCTAATGTTTTCCTTAAATGTAAATGTTCATTCATCTTTTACTAAAAGATTGTATTGGTGTATTTAATTTTTTAACTGCAAAACTAGCATACAGCTATTATAGAGTAGTTATAAAAAATCTGGTTAATACAGTGAATTTTTCCTTTCTAATTTCATTTTCTAAAGACAACCTTAATATCCTTATCTGCACAAAATAAAACTTTTTCTTTTATTAAAATGGAGCTTTATTTGATCTAAGCTTTTGCTTGCTGCAAGTCAGTAAATCTAAGGACTGACTTTCTTTTCTCGTTCTAAGCCCTGTAACCATGCCCTCTGTCACTTTCAACATAGAAGGACTTCTGAGAATTCTCTCTGAAATAGGTGCTCTGTGATAGATTCAAATCAGTTTACTTTAGAAGAAATTTATTGAACTGATGCACTAAGCGAAATAGTCGAGCATTTTAATCTTGCATGATGTGTATAGAGGCCTTTAACCAATACATTCAAATAAATATATATTTTAAATAATTACAAAACAGCACATTATTTTTGAAAGTTCCTTGTAATAATCATTGGCTAATTAATTAGTTGCAAAATAAATGATTAAAAAAATTAAAAAGGAAGCTGTTGAAAGCATGTGGCCTCTAAAAAAAGGCTATTTTTTTTAAAACACTGCCCATGATTTTTTAGATCTTTTCTTTAATTTATATTTTAATTTTATTTAAATGACATTTGAATTATACTTATCATTTAAGAAGAAATTGAAGATTAACAGGTTAAGCTTAAGAGGTTGATTTGCTTTTTAATTACAATATATAGTCATAAATGAAACACTTTAAAAAAATTTTTTTTTTTTAGAGTTGTGGATATGTTTAGAGAAAAGGAGAATTATGCAGCAATTAAAATCCAGAGCTGGTTTCGAGGATGTCAAGTTCGGGCATATATCAGGTATACTGATTTTATCATTGAAAGCTCAGACATATCATAACAATATACTTCTTGGTAAATGTAATTAATTCATGTAGTACTCATTTCATGTAACTTTTGTTACTTGTGATGAAGTTAATAGATTATATGTCCTTATGTCCTTTTCACAGATGTAACTCTTTTTGGTCCTCTTTTCTTACATATCAAAAACTGATTATATTGACTATATTTCTTTTTAAAATTCTCAGTCTCATAAATATACTTGATAAGATACTTTTCATCAGATTGCATAGGCTGTGACAAGTGACAGGATTTCTGTTCATAACAGTGAATTGTTGACTAGTAAGAAAAATAAAATTAAGAGAAATTGATTCTAATCCTCTCCAAATTATTGGTACCCAGAAGTAGATAATGACAGAATTATTCCATTTTGATTATGGAGATTGAATTTCATTCTTACCTTAACTATTCCCATTGAGTTTTCCTTAAGTGCTCAAACTTTCCTCAGTCTTGAGGAATATATTGTCCTTGATAAGGTTGACAAAATAACATGCCTAGTTCAAAATAACCCAAATGGTGAGCTGGGGATTATAGTGTATATTTTCTATTATATTATAATATTATATAAGCTAGCAGGAATCAAAAGTGCAAATTAAAGTATAGTTTCTCTTCTGGCCACTGTGCAAATTAGAAACAAGGCAGCAGAGAGTATTTTCTTTTTCATTCAACAGTGGAACATGATCTTCACCAGCATGGACAGAGATTTTATATCCTGATCTCCAAATTCTGATACAGGGATGGGGACATTCTCTAATAATACCAACAAGTATCTCCCATTGGGTGTCCTACAACTCAACTCAAGTATAACACTATCTACTTGGAGAGAACATCAGGGTTTACAGGTTAGAGGCTCATACCCACAAGACAGTACCCTTTTCTGACACAGACTTAAGACAGCCAGTTTGAGCCAGGTTATTATGTACTTCTGTCCTATTGGCTACAAATTGGAAGTTCCAATGACCTCTTCCTTGGGATTGGATTAACCTGGTAGAGCATCTTACAGAAACCAGAGAAGCATCTGTTACTCATTTATTGTACAAGAATATGATAAGGATATAAATGAAACTCCAAAGGGAAGAAATGCATAGGGCAAGGTATGGGAAAAGGACATGGAACTTCTATGCTCCATTTGAGCCAGTTTCTCTAATACCTCCCAGTGTTTACCAACCCAGACCTTTCTAAGTATTCTTTTGTGGGCTTTTTATGAGGCTTCTTTACAGGTAATCATTGGCCACAGATGACTGAGCCCACATTCAGCCCCGTTTTTCTCCCTGGAGATTGGGAGGTGGAGCTGGAAGTGCCAGCTTCCCACTATGGTAACTCCACTGGCACCCAGCCTCTATTTTTAGGTCACTCCAGAGTCGCCTCACTAGCCCAGTGAAGATGTTTTATTGACTCATTACTTAGGGAATTTCAAGGGTTTTAGGAGTTCTGAGAAGAAATGTGAACATAGACCAAATGTGTATTTCTTTTTATGAATCACAATATCACACTGAGTAATGTAAGAATGAAAAAGAAAAGTGGTACAGGGACTAACCTGAAGGGAGAGATCAAACACTCTCCAAAAATTAACATCAGTGTAAGAAAGCCAATATGAATTGCTTTGTGAGTACTTGCAATACATAACATCATTTGTGTTTGCTTATTTCTCAACATGTGACTATGACCTGTATTGTTAAATTCAACAATATTTAGGTATTGAGAGGTAATCATAAGCACCAAGGACAAATGAATAGTGATGTAGGCCTTTTTTTGTCCTTCTAGGAATACTTAAGTCTATTGCAGAATATTAACTCTTTAAAAGCACACAAAAGCTTGGCTTTGAATTTGATTTCTTAATTTATAGAAAAGTAATACTAAGCAGTAATTTAAGAGATAATCTTGTTTCACTGAAAGCAAACTAATAAATGTATTTTTTCACCCAGGCATTTACACAGAGTAGCAACTGTAATTCAAAAATGTTGGAGAGGTTACTTAGGAAGAAAATATTATCGACAAGTTGTGGAGGTAAATTTTGAAAAATTTGTTAGTGTTTGAATTATACATTATGCTGTAAATTACTCATTCTAATTATATTTACATGTAGTTTAGTTTTGAAGTTATTTGTAATAAATATTGCTATAAGTACAAAATTGGGTTTAATTGTTAGCGTGAAATTTTTTCTAAAAAGATTTTCCTATTTTTCTGTGGACAATTGAGGAAATTCCTTGGTGTCTACATTTTATTTTTGTCAATGTACCCTTTAGAGTAGATAGTTCCTCTGTACTTACTGGCTGGTGATCATCTCTACATGATTGATGGTGAATTCATTTAGGGTAGTTACTATAGCTTGTTCATTTGTGGGTCACCAGCATTTAGACTAATCTCTGACTTATTTTTCAGTCTATACACATGGGTTGAATCAAAGTGCCCCAAATTAATTCTACAAAATACAAAATTAGGTAATTTTTCTTTGTGCTACATATCATTTTCTATCAGCTGTTAGGATATTTTGAAGGTTTACATTTAGAAAGGTAGTATACCCTTGTTCTCTAAAATAACAAGTATCAATATATGTTTCTGAAACTATAAATTAGAGACTTTTAAAAGCCTATTTAGGAGGTTGGGAGGAAAAGAGGCATAGCGCAGCACAGTCATCTCTGTGCACCCATCAATTTGTAGAGGCTAATGATAACATACCAACTTAAGATTTTTTTTTATTTTAATTATTAGAAAAGTTTATTTTTACATCATTTTGCACATTTCTTTTTTTCCATTTTGATTGTAGTCCCCGCAGGTTTCCCATCACCAAATCACCCGTGTGCCACCACCATAGTCCCATGCATTTCCCTCCCTTCCCCCCCTCCCCGTTTTTGATCCCATTCCCCACTCC